CTGACATACTGAGGCAGGCATCCCAGTCAACTTGCAAGACACTACCGCCTTGTCCTCTTGTTCCTCAGGCAACAGTGATCATGTCTATTTATCCCTGCGCCTATTGGTACAAGTCCTGGATTTTCTTTCGCTCTATAAAGTACCGTCACCCGGAGAATATTATCTCGTCCATAATCTAATCTTGCTCCCTACTGCAGATATCACGTGACACCAGTCCAACCGTTCTGCCCGTCACGACAGGTTCCTACATCCACATCCCTAGAAAAATTTCATATCCTCAATCTGCACGTGAGCCTTGTAAACATCACCTTCATCTCAGGCCATGGGTTCCAACGAGGGCACATTTACTGGCTCCTCTAACTCGGACCGAATTGACTTCAGCATGGCTTCTCTACCGCCCACAGAGCCGGAGCACCCGACCTCCGAAAACGACGCAAAAACGGACGCACACAATGCATCAATTCTCGCCGTGCGCGGCCTGCACACCACTGCGAAAGGAACAGAGCTTTTCGTACTCGCCGAGAGCGTGTCCCTCAACGACGAGATCTTCCTGCATGTGTCCAGCAGTGCAGCGAAAGCTAGGGAGGAGGACAACACATTTGAACTCGTAGCCAGCAAGGTGACCTTCGAGCCTTTTTACTTCTTCTTCTATGGCACGCTGCGGATCCCCAGGGTTTTGAGATCAACCTGCAAAATCCCGGGTGCAGACCGTGGTGTTGCGGCCATGCGCAGGGACGCGAGTCTCAGGGGCTGGAAGATCATGATGTGGGGCCCGTACCCGGCTCTCTTGCCCGCGGACGACGAGGAAGAACCTGTCCCGGGTAGCTTGTGGTGGTGCGACAGGCCCGAATATGTTGCAAGATTGTGTCGATATGAAACGGCTGCGTACCGCTTGGCCTACTGCGATGTCTCTCTTCCCACTGCAGATGGATGTGGCGTCGATATCCTGGAGAATGTGCGCACGTTTGTGTCCACGCTCGAGGAGGACCAGTTAGGTAAAGGCGAATTTGACCTTGACGACTACGAGGCTTGTGTGGGGAGCCCCTAGTGAGCTGGGATGGTTGTGCATATACGAGGGTATGATTCTGGGCTTTGGGGTTGGCTTTTTTGCGCCATGACTGGTGTCTCTTGACGCATCAGGGAGTATCAAGACTGGGGAGTATCGTGATGAAAAAATGAAGTTCAGTAGTAGCTACTTGGAACTCCGCACGTATCAATCACCACAATTGATCTACGTTCCTCTCCTCTCCTAACTCGTTACCGGACATCCTCATACTACATCTCCTTTATTGCATAAGAATCGTGGTTCTAGATATCACAAGCACTAGCTCGATATAGTCAAATGTGATTCGAGTAAATATTTTGACGCGCAACTCTCTATGCTCTATCCCAAAAGAACAAACGAAGCAAATCTAAAGTGTAAACCCCCCTCCCCCCCCCAAAAAAAAAAAAAAGAAAAGCAAGCCGTCTATCTATGGCTCTTTAGTTCCTCTATGTGTTTCCTTTCCCAAAATGCCGTCTAATCCCCGTAATCCATCTATCGTTCTATCGTAATCTATATGCGCCGTATGAAGCCATTCGCACCCCATTCCATGCTTGTCATTCCACTCATAGACAATCGTACGCCTTCTAATAGACTCATCTGATAACACTCAGTGAATTCTCTGGGGATATATATTAGCAAGTATCGGCGACAAAGTATGATATGTAAATGTCTGGACTTACAAAAAGCGGACAGATGCCGCCACCCTATCTAACTCGGACCAGTCATCCCGCACGCTTAACTAATTATACAGTCAGCAATGTGAACATCACACTGGGAATGAGAGGGGTTGGACTCACGATGATTTCGGTTTGGGCTGCGGTTGTGACGAGCTACCGGAGGTAGTGCTCGTGCTTGTTTGGCCCTTGGTCGAACCGCCTTCCATAGCGACAGTTACAGCAGCGAGAACGACAACCATGGTGATCGACTTGATATGAAATAACACCGATTCAAGGAAAGAATGAGAGATTAGAGAGGGATAAGAAAGTCGAAGCAGTTATGTCGATGTGATGCTGATTAAAATCATCTCCAACACAGCGTGAACCTCTCGCTTCTTATACCCAGCACCTCAAGATCCAGACCAGACGATCTAAGCCAATTCCAAAAGCGCTGCTCTCCCGACCATGCCGACGACGGATCGCAAAAATCCACGAGGCTAAAATTATCAACCGTAGCCCTACCGCAGGGTAGGCATTATTGTTCCCGACGAGGCGGCGGCGGGGTGGGGAAGTACAAGGGCATTGTCCCTCGCATATCGAACATGACCTGACGCCGATCTTAGATTCCCAAAGTTTCATCTCATGCTCCCCACACAGACAGATCGCCGCGAACGGCAACTCGATCCTCCGTTAATTTAAATTCTACATCATCATCATCATCATTATCGTCATCACTAACCACAAGCACTACCACCATGAAATCTTAAAGTGACCGCAACGCCTCGAGGAATCATGTGGACGAGAAACAACTTCGCCGCACATATTACTACACTAAAGTCTGTCTGTGTGTATTCCCACATCCACCCGATCTAAATTTCTTTCAAAGAAACCGCACTGCCCCAAGGGAGCCAGGACAACAAACACACAGACACACACGCACACACACAGACTCTTTCACTTACTACAGCTAGGTAGGTACATGACACGCCCGTGGCCCATATTCTAGATTAGGACGACAAGGGGCCTCGCGATCCTCGAGCTGAAAACCCACCCCCTTCCGACGAAAAGGGTCGGTTGAGAGTCCAACCCGGCGGCCCCGGTGCCGCTTTTCGCATTTCATATCATTACTCAGCGGATGCGGATGCGATATGACTTACCTTACCTAAGAAAAGAAGGGGAAGAAGAAGAAAAGCCGAGGTTTTAACACTATTTTTGTCTAGAACTCGGGCTTCATCGGTCCGATTCGGGCCCGTTGGGGATTTGACGGCCCGTTATCGGGTTTCTTTTGTTGCCTGGTATACCTAGGTACCTACCTACTTCGTAGGTGTCACAGAGCTGACTTACTAAATAACTACAAATAACTACGTAGATAGAAAGCGTCAGGATGATTAAGATGTGATGTGATTGTTAATACGGAATACAGGTTCATGTTCAGGAGCAGTCATTTCTCGTGGCGGGTAGTTATCTAGTGTGCACAACTAACACCTGCTGGCGTACGGACTACTTACTTATACATGACAGAACGAAGCGCATCGGGCCGTCAAGAATATTGTGCAGACCGTACCGGATATACTGTAATAGAGCCGGATGTAAAAAAGGAATGCGTCGAGAAGGCCACTTACCTATTGCACTATCTAGAGCGAAGGTCGGCTACCTGCTATACAACCCGCAACGCGATGCAACCCGTTTTTTTAAGTCCGTGTCTTCGAGAAATTCTGTGCCGATGCGGATCCGTGACGCCCCAAGAGGATCCGCCCGTAATGCGGTGCGAAATAGGTATGTCAATCGTCAATCCGTCCGCCATAGACAGTCGATACCTACATACAAATCCATACAAACAGACATACGAATAAACTTGGAACTCTTCAATGAGGCTCTTCCATGTACAGAAATAAACACTACGACCCTACCCAGGTACTTACGCAACTCTGATACCGCTTATTCCTTCTCAGAGGTAAGGTAAGGTACCCATATGTAGGACGAATGCCGTTCAACACGGGATTCCTGGCAACATTCCTAGGGCACTTCTATTACTGTATAGATGGCGGGGGCGCGGTTCGGTTCTACTGATCTAATACTTATTACCTTTTATATACCCATATCTCACAGGATCACGCATCAAACTCGAGACTTTCAGATTGATCAGAGCCCTTTCTTCTAAACACTCGTCCGTTTTACGACGTACCATCGCCATCCTATCAAGGATAAGTGTGAGCGTTGCGTAGGTGACGGACTTATATATATACGGGCCGTGCTCATGCTATGTATAGATAGGCACCTAACCCATGGTTCGATAAATACTATACGTGGGGAGAAAATAATCCAGCATCTCTGCCTCTCACGCTCCAAAAATGGGCCATCCCGCCTCGTCTCATTGGCTCGAGGCTCGGTTCTTGATAAATAACTTTATCTCGACGGCAATGGATAAGTCGTTGCCTAATGTCTCGCTTATTAATAGTAGCCTTGAACGCAGAGCATTCCTCTTGGGGAGGGCGCAGCATACGATATGCGTAAGTGTGTTTTACGCTTGGATGTCCTACCCAATCAACCGTTACCTTTGCAGTAGTGGCATGTGAGGATGACAAATTTCACGTTGCTCTTCATAAAAAAGAGTCGCGATACAGCGTCCATTTAACAAATATGCTCGCTTCCTGGAAAAGGCTGGATTCCCAATTCTTCTTCCTTTAAAGATTGGCTTTGTTGTCGCTTCGCTTTGTAGCCGTTGAGTTGCAGTGCCTTTCCCTGTAATCTTAATTGCTGTAGGAAGTTCCTACCGGATTGGAAGGGCGGGCTCCTGTACAAAATGAGTAGATGAAGCTCCTAGTGCTCATCCATAGGGTATCATCTGAGTTAAATTCCTTTCTTCAAGTGCCTCGATGTGGCCTGGTAGTTCGAGATATTTTGATAGGAAGGAGATCCAATCTTCAGAACGTATGGGTCCATGTCAGACAAGACCGTGGTGATATGCTTACCTACAGAAAGACTTGCTAGAGAGTTGACAATACCTACCTACCTTGCGGCCACCCTGTGGCCACCACTCTTACCTATTACCCAGTAACATGTCAGTAGTCAGCCGCGGTTTACGGCTACATAGTTGCATTGGAAGTCCAAAGTGTCAAGCAAGCGTACTTAGTTTGCGTGTGAGAAGAAGAAGATATCTCAGCGGAAAAAAAGAATGCGAAAATGAAAGATTCAAAATATAAAATAGCACAAGCAAAGAAAGAAGAAGAAGAAGAAGAAGAAAAATATAGGAAAAAAAGGAAGGTAGCTCTTAGTAGACTAAGAGACATCAGGAATTGAGCCCGATGCGGGGGTCGAACCTGTTTGAGTTGTTAGTATGCTTGATATTACAAGAGTCTTTTCTTCAGAGGGAAGAAACTCACCCGCAACCTTGAGATTAAGAGTCTCACGCTCTACCGATTGAGCTAACCGGGCAGATTGTTGACATTTTCTGACCAAAAATCGGTAGGTGTGCCACAATTTTCGAAGCGAGGCGGGGAGGGGGGCCTTTCTGGCGATTAGGTAAGAGGCCTACTAACCTACCTAACCTAAGTAGGTACGGTCCTGCTTATCGAAGGTGGGGCCCATCAATCGAGGGGCAAGGCGGATAAAGCACCCCGCAACCAAACAAGCGACACTACCTACTTATGCGTCCGTATAATCCGCAAGTATCTACGGACTACGGATTGCTATTTCGTACTTACAAGCAAGAGGCAGGCCTACGAATAACGTGAATACCGACCTACTCTTTTTATCACCCTCCCAAGTGTTTCTTCTGACCTCTCCCTGCGTGTGTATTATGTCAAGATGCCTGTAGACTACAGCAAATGGGTGAGTAAAGTAACCCTCCAGCCTGGCTAGCGGAATATATCGACCCATGCTACGTGTCCCGGTCTAGCAGCTAATCACGATACCTCTTTCTGAAGGACAACCTGGAGCTCAGTGATGACTCCGACATCGAGGTCCATCCAAACGTCGATAAGCGATCCTTCATTCGTGCCAAGCAGAACCAGATCCACGCTGAGCGCCAGCAGCGCAAGCTTCAGATTGAGACTCTGAAGTACGAACGCCAGATCAACGATGGATTAATAAGACGCATAACCGGGCTTCTCACCGCCCTCAAAGCAAATGCTGCCGAGGCTGAATCGAACCTCGCCGAGATGGCTTTCCGCGCCGTCATGGAGTCCGCCGGTCGCCCTGAGGATGACAAGCCCCCTGCGCGACCCGAAGGCGTGCATGCTCAGGTCGAGCAGCCCCCCACCTATACCAAAATGATGGCCACCTTGCTAGACCAGGTCAACCAGACAATCAACGAGAAGAACCCAGAGAATCGCTACACTGCCATGCTCGAAGAGATTGAGGACCACCTTAAGAAAGTACAAGATTTACAGCAGCAACTCCTGACGAAGCTAGCCGAGTTGGAGAAGGAGGAAGGCCGCAAAATTACAAGCGAAAGCATCCACACGGGCTTTGATAGCTCCTATGTCGCAAAGTCAACACCATCTACATCGACTGGCGGAAACCCCGGCGGCAAGGTTGAGCTTTTGAACCCGAACTTCTCCGAGAACATGGCTGGGACGACAAAGCCCGAATCGTCCGGCGACAACGACGACGACGACGACGACGACGACGAAAGCGGTGATAGTGAGATTGAAGCCTCTATAGATGGTCGCGCTTTTGCAAATATCAAGGCCGCTGAGTACAGAGAAAGCCATGCATTCATCACTTCACATCTCCATATAGTATCCGAGAAGGAGACGGATGGTATACTTGTCATGGCTTTTGATGCACAACTAGACAACAAGGATGATATCGCGAGGAACTACGTGCACCAGGCTCTGCTGCTTCAATACTGCCGTTCGCTGGGCAAGGATGGCGTTCCGCTCTTCTTCAAGCGCATTACTACCAAAGGTCACCAGGCTCAGGAGGTGTTTTACAAAGATGTACAAGACACCTACTTCCGTATCAAAGGCCGAGCTGCCGAGATCAACGCGCAGCGTGCGCAAACCAAGTCTGGCGATGTAGAACAAATCCAGTTGCACGCCGTTCAGCCAGGCACAGAGATCAAGATTCGGGTCCCACCAGAGAACAGCGAAGATGAAGAAGGCAAGCGTGAGCGCGAAATCTTCGACGGTTTTACGCCAGAAATGCGCAAGGCCCTAGAATCCGGTAGTCTGGACAAGGTCAACGAAGTACTTGGTAGTTTGCAGGTACCCGATGCCGAAGAGATCGTGAATCTCTTAAGCGAGGTAAGACACGGCATTCTCCATGGCCGACTCCGGGCATTTGCTGATTTATTTGCAGGCTGGTATTCTCTCTTTGGAAGAGCAGATCATAGATGCCACTACGGCCGAAGGCAGACAACGTGTTAAGGAACTGGAAGAAGAGGCTGCGACGGAGTCGTACACTGATGATCCTGAGTAAAATCAACACGAGTATCGGTGACACGTGCTGGATATATGTAGTATTTACGAGGTTCATCCTTGAGTTCGTGCGCTGGTTATTATAATCGGACTGATGAGAAAAGGCGAAACACCATGGGTGTAGTACGAATTCCCCTCGAAACATGACATGAATGAGATTTGTTCAGCTGGGTCAGCGAAATTGTGGTACCTCGGTGCGTGAGACAAGGCGGGACTGAGAGGACAGTTTGCATTGCATGTTCAGCACGAGCACATACGAGGTATCTTAGGTGTGTGTGTACGTCCGCACGTCCGCACGTCCGTATTTGCTCGAGGCTCTTTTGGATGACGACTCACAGGACCTACCGGACTTCGTGAAATTACCTAGTGACACCTACCTACAGTACCTAGCGTACCTACAAGACATCAAGTGGCAGGTATGCATGCTCTTTTTATATCCTTCGAACCACAAAACTTGTGGCTTCTTTGATTCCAGAAGTTCGTTCAAGGGGCTGTGTACGGATCCGTACGTACATCCGTATGGATCCTATCTAACTAATCATGTGATAGGTGGCGTCTGTAGATCCTTTTGGCCGTTGATCTTTTCATTTTGGATAGGCCAAATATCCGAGATCCCTGTAGTCCGTATGTGCGGGAATGTAGTACACTAGGTTACTACAAGGGTGGCCGGCCTGGAACCCCGAGCTTAATGGTGGTCTCGTATGGATTCCGTATTCCTCATCATAATCTCCATCGGGTTGCATAGAGAGATGTAAATGTCGGGTTGCGCCTGAGTCAGTGAACCACCACAGACAGCGGTACCCTATCATGATGATTTCGAGTGTGAAGTAGGTACACGTCCTATGATAGGTAGGTAGTCCGTACGGGTAACGTTCATATCTTCCAAGGCTGTCATCTAACCAACCTTGGTAGGTAAGTATCAGAATGTAAGTAAGTACGTACGTAGGTAAGGTAATCTAATAAGTCCTTCTTTTTGGCCAATCTAGCGACACTGTACCTTGTTTAGCCCAGCCCCTTATTTTGTAATTTGAGATGGCGTTGCTGACACTCAAACAGATGGCGAATGAGATGGCAGCGTCGCAGAGGTTGCGGCAGCCCTTGCGCAGACTAACATCTTACCAATATGGCCTTGCTTCGTTTCAAGGGAATTAAGCATGCCGTTCAAACAAGACACAGGTGAACGCGCGTTTATTACCAGGCCTCATCTCCGCCAAGGCTGATGTGTCGGGGCGCAGTCGCAAGTTACCCGGTACTAGAGCCGACTCCACAACATGGCTACGCCAGATGATCCCTGGAAGAGAGTCCTGTACTGCCCCATTGACAAACTTGGAGAGGGCTCGGCCTGGCCGCTATGAACCGTGTTCAAACCTCTCTTAAGTTCGTTCTCAGGTTACTTGGTATATCGCAGGCCGTTGTTCTCCCTTTCCTGCCTTTTTCATACTTCAATACTGGAGTATCTCGTATCACGTCCCAAGTCACTGAACTCGGGTACTGGAGTGTATTGCTTGCTTGCTTGTTTGCTTGTCTCGTATCTATTCAATCAAGATGGTTCCGTCGTTATCTACATACGCGGCGGCCCTGGCAGCCCTGGTGGGCACGGCCTATTCGATACCACAAGCCGGTACTTTCTCCTCGACACCAGTAGGGGGGACTGTTCCCACGGCAGCAGCTACTGCACCGACGGTGGCTTGCAACAACTCGCCAGATCTCTGCAGCCGCTCTTACGCGAATATCACTCACATCGGTGCTCACGATTCATCTTTCCTCCGCGATGCGAGCACGCAGGATTCGATAGCCGGCAATCAATTCTTCAATGCCACGGTGGCATTGGATGCCGGCATACGGATGCTGCAGGTGCAAGTTCACGATCTCAATGGAACCGTCGAGATGTGTCACACGCTATGCTCGCTGCTCGATGCCGGGCCCCTGTTGAATTGGCTTTCGGACATCAAGATTTGGATGGATAGCCACCCGAACGAAGTTGTAACGCTCCTGATCGTCAATTCTGACGGGAACTCCGTCTCTGATTTCGGCAACATCTTCCAGCAGTCGGGGATCGCGCAGTACGGATTTACCCCAACGGGCAATGGGTGGCCGACGCTTCAATCCATGATCCTGGCGAAAACTCGTCTCGTGACATTCATCGCTTCCATCACGCCTAGCAGCCAATTCCCATACCTGCTGAATGAGTTCGACCACGTCTTCGAAACCGCGTTTGGGGTGACCTCTCAGAATGGCTTCAACTGCTCGATCGACCGGCCTTCGACGCCCGCGACGTCAAACGCTGCTCTCTCTGCTGGTCTCCTCCCACTAATCAACCATTTCCTCGACAAGGATCTGGGCTCGTCCATCACAATCCCGGACGTCGACAACATCGCGACGACGAACAACCCGTCGACAAGCACAACGGGCGCGCTGGGCCAACACATCGAGACCTGCAATTCCGAATGGGCCCACCTGCCGACCTTCGTGCTGGTTGATTTCTGGAACGAGGGTCCATCAATCGATGCCGCAGACGCCATCAACGGCATCACCCACGCCGTCGGACGCAAGAACGACACGGCGTCCTCGGCGGACACGGCGGGCTCGCCGACGAATCTGAACGAGGCGTTCCGCGGTCGCGGGGCCGCGGGTATGGGCAGAGAGGCGCTAATCGGATTCTTTGTAGTCGTATTTATGCTCGCATAATACATGTCGCGATTTTTACACAATCATATCACATCTTATTCGACTTGGAAATAAATAATAGAAAAGCCTAATGCGGCGAGAAACAGAATGAGCAGGCAGGCAGATTAGCTTCAATGGGGGATTACAGTACTTTTGGGATGGAATGGGATGGAATGATTGGTGAATGGGCATAGCGATGGCGTTCATTTCTTGCTTGTTGGGACACTGACATCCCTTCCGGGGAGGGTGTTTTTATCATTTATCTTATATGTTAAATTGGCAGATTTATATGTGATGGGATGGGATGAGATGGGATGCAAACATACCACATACGCACAGGTTATA